ATGGAGTCTCGCTCTGTTGCCCAGGCTGGAGTGCAGTGGTGTGATCTCTGCTCACTGTAACCTCAATCTCCCAGGTTCAAGTGATTCTCCTGTCTCAGCCTCCTGAGTAGTTGGGATTACAGGTGTGTGCCACCACGCCTGGCTAATTTTTGTATTTTTAGTAGAGACTTGGTCAGGCTGGTCTCGAACTCCTGACCTTGTGATCATGGCCATTTTTTTTTTTTTTTGAGACAAGAATCTTGCTCTGTTGCCAAGGCTGGAGTGCGTGGTGCAATCTCAGTTCACTGCAACCTCTGCCTCCCTGGTTCAAATGATTCTCCTGCCTCAGCCTCCAGAGTGGCTGGGATTACAGGCACCCATGACCACAGCCACCTAATTTTTGTACTTTTAGTAGAGCTGGGGTTTTGCCATGTTGGCCAGGCTGGTCTCAAACTCCTGACCTCATGTGATCTGTCTACCTTGGCCTCCCAAAGTGCTGGGATTACAGGCGTGAGCCACCGTGCCGGGCCTTCTGGAATGTTTTGTAAAGAGAAGGCAGAGATGGTTATGCTGCACATTTAGGCAGTGGAAACTCTTCAGGGCATTTCAATAGGGATTTATTTGTTGTCTTTCCTCTTCAGTAGGACTTGGGTTTTAAAAGGGATTCAGAAGGAGGTTATACTTCACTTTTCTTTTATAAAAGCCTGAGTTTTCTGGTCAGAGCAAACTAAAAATTGGAACAGTTACATGTTTTGCACCTGTGAAAACCCTGTGTTCAGCTGGCTGATGGAGCACTTTCCCCTAAGACATACTCCTATTTTGAATGTTGTCATGTGAAATTTGTGGATTCTGTTCCTTGTTGTGAAATTTGTGGATTCTGTTCCTTGTGTGCAAAGAGGCATTGCTAACAGTTTCCCTTTAAATGCAGTTTCACTAAAAGAAAAAAAAAAAAACGCAGTTTCCCTGTTCACTTTCTTTCCTCAGCCTCACACCCTTTCTCCTGCCCTGGCCTTCTTGTGTGTCACCCCACCTGCTGAGACTCCCCACTGGGTCTTTTAGGCCTGCACACCAAATTAGTCTGTGCCATTTTCTCCCTCTTGCTCAGCTTTTCCTCCTCAAAGAGTCAGCAAAACAATGTATTCTGGAGGATCCATCTATCCTCATCAGAAGGCAGAGAATGGAGAGGTTACAAATACTAAAAAACTGGCCACGTGGGTGAATCAACTGAGGTCAGGGTTTCGAGACCAGCCTGGCCAACAGGGCAAAACCCCACCTCTACTAAAAATACAAAAATTAGCTGAGCTTGGTGGTGCAGGCCTGTAATCCCAGCTACTCAGGAGGCCGAGGCAGAAGAATCACTTGAACCTGGGAGGCAGAGGTTGCAGTGAGCTGAGACTGCACCACTGCAGTCCAGCCTGGGTGACAGAGCGAGACTCCGTCTCAAAACAAAAAAAAAAAAAAAGTTTCCCCCTTGTCACAAGAAGAATGGGGCTTCTGCATAGCTGCACTATGCAGAAATGCCTGGAAACGTTGGATCCTGGCATCACAGTCCACTTGTCCGCCTGCTTTGTGCTGGCGTAAGGACCGTTTTCGTTGGTGATGGTGTGGCATCATAAGGCAGTTTCTCAGTAAGTCCTGGGGCCTTTCTTACAGAGCTCCTCTTTTGAGAACTGTGTGAGAAGCGAAAATACACAGCCCTCAGTACCGCTCCCCCTTCCCAGTATGCTCTTTTTTTTTTTTTTCCTGGCACAGCGACAGGAAAAGAAAAGATAAGGGAGGTGACATCTGGGTGCTTCTGGAAGCAGAGGGTGAGGAAAGTCAGAAGTCAGCCTGGCTGCCTCAAAACTGAACCAGGTGCATCCTGGGTTTGGATGACCTTACAGTCAGTCACTGGCTTAGCATGCTGCGTAATTTGTTTGATGAGTGATGACACACATAAACCTCTGGTATTTATATTGCCTCTGACTCTCCTTGTCAGAAAGCCGGTGAAGACCATGTGATATTGATGGGCACATACCTATTCTCATGTTAATAACAGCCACCATGTCTTGTCCGAGGATTTACCACATGCCCGACGTCGGGCTCAGCACTTTATAAGCATCATTTCATTTGTTGCTCTCTCTTTGGGGAATTTTTTTTCCTTTTTTTAAGACAGTCTTACTCTGTTGTCCAGGCTGGAGTGCAGTGGCAGTATCTTGGCTCACTGCAACCTCTACCTCCCAGGTTCAAGCAATTCTCCTGCCTCAGCCCCCTGAGTGGCTGGAACTACAGGTGTGTGCCATCACGCCAGGCTAATTTTTGTAGTTTTTAGTAGAAACGGGATTTCACCATATATTGGACAGGCTGGTCTTGAACTCCTGACCTCATGATCCACCCACTTTGGCCTCCCAAAGTACTGGGATTACAAACGTGAGCTACCATGTCTGGCTGGGGAATGTATTCTTACACATTATACAGTATCACCAATGCTCCATTTTTTTTTTTTTTTTTTTTTTTTTGAGACAGAGTCTTGCTCTATTGCCCAGGCTGGAGTGCAGTGGCATGATGTCAGCTCACTGCAAACTCCGACTCCTGGGTTCAAGTGATTCTCCTGCCTTAGCCTCCCAAAGTGCTGGGATTATATGCATGAGCTGCTGTGCCAGGCTACCAAGGCCCCATTTTACAGACAAACAGGTTCGGAGAAGGAACCATGGCCTGGGCCCTACAACTATTATAATAAGTAGCAGGGTCAGGATTTGGTCCAAGCATCCTGACTGCAAAGTTCAGTACTGGCACCGGAGTGGTGGGAATACAGAGATGAACAAGTGCTGCTTCTGCTCATGTGAAGTCATATTCCAGTGCAGAGGAAAGGCCTGTGTTGGTCATTCATTCTTCATTCATGCATTCATTCATGGAATGCCTATGGTGTGCTAGGTTTTTTTTTTTTATTAGCTTTTGTTTTTTTTAGATGGAGTCTTGCTCTGTGGCCCAGGCTGGAGTGCAGTGCCGCAATCTCAGCTCATTGCAACCTCTGCCACCCCGGTTTAAATGATTCTCCTGCCTCAGCCTCCTGAGTAGCTGGATTGGGATTACAGCCACCCACCACCTGTATTTTTGTATTTTTAGTACAGCCATGGTCGGCCAGGCTGGTCTTGAACTCCTGAGCTCAAGTGATCTGTCTGCCTCAGTTGGGAAGATGTTGGTCAAAGTGTACAAAATTTCCGTTAGGAGGAAAAAGTTCACTAGATCTATTGCACTACATGGTGATTATAGTAAATAACAATGTACTTATGCTTTTGGAAATTATTGAGAGGTTTTGTGTTCTTACCACAAAAGAAGTATGTTCGGTAATGCATATGTTAATTAGCTCGATTTAGTTATTCCACCATGTATACATATTTTGAAACAACATGTACATGACTAATACATGTAATTTTTGTCAATTAAAAAGTACAAAATGGGCCACCTACTGTGGCTCACGCCTGTAATCCCAACACTTTGGGAGGCTGAGGCAGGTGAGTCATTGGGGCCAGGAGTTCGTGACCAGCCTGGCCAACGTGGTGAAACCCCATCTCTACTAAAAATACAAAAATTAGCTGGGCATGGTGGTGCATGCCTTAATCCCAGCTACTGGGGAGGCTGAGGCAGGAGAATCACTTGAACCCGGGAGGCGGAGGTTGCAGTGAGCCGAGATCGCGCCACTCCAGCCTGGGTGATGGAGGGAGACTGTCTCAAAAAAAAAAAAAAAAAAAAAGTAAGAAAGGAAAAAAATTATTTCAACAAGGTCTGTACAGAATTCTTTCCGTCTCACGTCTTCTCTTTAAGGATAAGGATGCTGCTTTTTCTTCTAGTATAGGGAAGGTGTCCTTCATCATGGAACTTTCATCTGCTTTTAAGAATCAGAAAAGGGGTCTTCTTGCATCTGCTGATTTTTAAATGCGTTTAATTAAAAACCGTCTATAGGCTACGGTGGTACATTTTTAACTCCTTCAGTTTTTAATCTATAAGCCCATTCTTGGGCGAAGGCGGAGGTAAATTGATCATGACCCTGCAGTGTGATGCGTGTGCAGAGGTCGAGTGTCTGCGACTCCTGGATGCTGGGCGCGCAGGGCAGGGGTGAGGCGGGACGAGGCGGTGGTCGGGGTGGGGGGCGGGCGCGGGCGTCCCGCGGTCCCCAGGGCCGGGGCCGGGAGCTCTGCGAGCTTCTCATTAGCCGGCGGCGCGGGGAGGGGCCAGGTGACCTCACGCTGTCCGGGCCTCAGCGGCCATTAGTCCGGGTCCCATTGCTGGGGCGGCCGCGCAGCTTCTGAGTCCGCGAGGTGGGTGGAGCGGGTCTTTCTGGAAGGGTGCTTTGATATGGCCGGGCGAGGTGCTGCCTGGGATGCTGCTCCTCGTCCGCTAGGAAGAGATGAAATTGGGTGGGGTGGGTGTAGACGAGTCGGCAGAGCAGCCCGCAGGCAGCTGCCGCCTCCTGGGCGCCCGCTGGGCCCCAGCGAGAAAGTTGTAAAAGGGAACCAGGTGGTTGTTCCCGGGGTCCGCGGCGCGCCTCGCACGCTCTCCCGGCCAGAGGCCGCCGTCCCCGGGGTCTGGGGACGCAGTTTCCTGTTAATGACAGTGAATCCCTGTTCCCCCTGCCTCAGACACCTAGGCCGCGAATTCGAGCCTGACCTTGAGGGTCCACACCGCGAGAGAGAAGATGCGTGCGCCCATTGTAAGTGGGTGCGGGGCGGGGTGGGGGGGTGCGGGGCGGGGGTGGTGGGAGCCCCTTGTGAGTTGGGACTCGTCTCGGAGCCTGACTTGTTGCTTCCAGGAGAGGAGGACATGGGGGCCACACCTTTGTCAGCTGCGGGGCATCGGTGTCAGCTGCGGGTCGGCGTGCACATGTTGGTTGGAGTGGTCTCAGGGCGCGTCCTTGCGGGGTCCAGTGTGGGGGCGCCCTGTCTGAAACACGCCCAGGGGAAGGCTGGACCCTCGGGAGGGAGGCGGCCAGGGGGCAGGTCTGTCCGCAGAAGTTCGAAGGGCGTTGCCCTCTGGAGCCACATCCGGACACCGGGACAGGCCTTGGGCCACGTCCGGACACCGGGACAGGCCTTGGGGGCATGCATCCCATGACCAGCCCTGCCAGCAGACTGTTACGGCTTTTTGCTATGGCTTTTCCTCTCTCCCAACCTCTGGTTGAGACATCCTAACTGTGCTTGGCGACTGCCTCCCTCCCGCCTGGCCGGACAGCAGCAGAGGGATTCCGAGGAAAGGATTTGGAGGTGGACCCACCTTGTGTTGAGCACCTGGCTGTGGGAGCCCGATCCCACAGTGGATCAAATCCACTGTTTCCCAGAGTGAAGGCTGTATCACTTAATACTCAGGAAATGCCCAGAACAATACCTAGCACACAGTTTGAGTGCGCAACCATAATTCACTGTTGTTATTATCTCAGTCCAGATAGAGGTCAGGAGTTTGAGACCAGCCTGGCCAATATGGTGAGATCCCGTTTCTACTAAAAATACAAAAAAATTAGCCGGGCGTGGTGGCGAGCAGCTGTACTCCCAGCTGCTCGGGAAGCTAAGGCAGGAGAATCACTTGAACTCAGGACACGGGGGATTGCAGTGAGCTGAGATCACGACACTGCACTCCAGCCTGGGTAACAGAGTGACCACCCATTTCAAAAAAAAAAAAAAAAAAAGGAGTTTTGCCTGGTGTCAGGGTGTATCTAGCATATTTGACACCTGGAGTGGTCACTTTTTAATTTTTTTGTTTTGAGACGGAGTTTCACTCTGTCATCCAGGCTGGAGTGCAGTGGTACAATCTCCGCTTACTGCAATCTTCGCCTTCTGGGTTCAAGGGATTCTCCTGCCTCAGCCTCCTGAGTAGCTAGGCTACAGGCACGTGCCACCACACCCAGCTAATTTTTGTACTTTTAGTAGAGTCGGGGTCTCACCATGTTGGCCAAGCTGATCTTGAACCTCTGACCTTGTGATCCGCCCACCTTGGCCCCCAAAGTGCTGGGATTACAGGCGTGAACCACCGCGCCAGGCCGAGTGGTCACTTTTTAATATCATTCTCCTCTATCTGACATTATTTTTTAGCAATAATCATGCAATGAATAGTAATAACGTCCAGAAAGAAACACAGAGAACATTTATTGAACCTCATATATGTCATCATGACAGTAAAAAAATTAAAAATGAAAAATAAAGTAAATGTGATAGTGCAAAAGCAGGAAAAAGTAATGGATTAGTAGGTCATGATCACATTAATGTATTTTTGAAAAAAGGAAAAACTTATTCTTACATATAGTCTGGTATCAGTGGTGAATAATAACAACACTACAATTTCTGTTTTGGAAACTTCTGACAAGTTGGCCATGACATTGAGTCAAATCGATCTTCTTTGCATATTCATGTTCAGTATTCAGGGGAGCTATATTTACAAGTCCGTCTTTGCTCACAGTTGATTGAAGAACACTTTTTATTAATGTTAATTTCAAAAGCTGCTTTCGTATAAAAGTAGGGAGACAAAGGAAAAGCCTTAAACATTAGGATGAGTTTGGGAGAGATTTATAAATATCCCATTTCATTATAAATTCCAGACTCTGCAATACCGCCTAGGTCTTTTTTCCTTTAATCAGTTCTAGCAGCTTCAATGTCTCCTTGTTAGAAAGATTTTCACTAAGACAGGCTGGGTGCAGTGGTTCATAACTGTAATCCCGGCACTTTGGGAGCTGGAGTGGGAAGATCACTTGAGCCTAGGATTTTGAAGCTGCCGTGGGTAATACAGCAAGACCCCATCTCTAAAAATGAAGCAACAACAAAATCTTCACCAGACACTTCATCATGCATTTTAGTTTTATTTGGCAAAATTCCCCAAGCTCTTCTTCTGCAAAAATCAGAGAAAATGGCTGAGTGATAGTGAACCTTGACATTTATTTAATCCATTGCTTTAGAAATGGTGAAAAATCACCCAGGCTTTCAAACATCATTCTTTCAGTTTCTTTTGGCATTGGGAGACAGGCTGGTTTCTGTTGAAACACAGGAAAATGCAGGACCAGAGAGACTGGCTACATAAACCGTATCAAATGAGTTCAGATTATTCTGAACCTTTAGGAACTGATTCAGAACTTGTGGCTGAATCTGTGTGTTTCAGGAACGACTGTAACTGCGTGTTTTCTGACTTAACCTCCATGTAGAAGACAAAAGTTTTAAAAGCATAAGAAATAAAAATGTGCTAATTGAAGGCTCACATGTACATGATTAACCCTCAATGATAACCGCAGCCATTAGAATTTAGACCAATAAGACATGTTTTGGGGGAGTGGTATTTTATCACGGACATGGTTTAAAATGGCCAGCCCATGGTAATAATAAAAGGCAGACTGACTTTTGGTAGGTTTTATTATTGTTTTGGAATTCCCTTTGGCCAGATATGGTGGCTCATACCTGTAATTCCAGCACTTTGAGAGGCCAAGGTGGGCAGATCACTTGACCCCCGTGATTGCACCACTGCACTCCAGCCTGGGTGACAGAGCGAGACCCTGCAGAAAAACCCAAACAAAAACAAAAACCCAGAACAAAGCTGTCCTCTACAGAACACTTGCTCCTGTTTGTCTACAGTGGGGAAGGACAGCTCCTGCCTCCCCGCTATGGGCTTTTTTTTGGGCCTGACAAATGTTACTGGCTGTTGAAGCAGCTCCCAGGACTCTCCTGGGGCTGGAAGAGGCTGTGTCCACAGTTTCCTGAGCCCTTGAGTTCAGCTTGTGATGCCTCCTGCTGTGATTATTTCTCTCCTCTCTGTGTTCCAAATTTGCTAGAATGAGTGGGTGGGGAGCCTTTCCTTTCCCCTCTCCACCTGCCCCATCCTCACATCTGTGGCTTGTTGAGCAGCTGCTCCCGAGGAAACGAAACTGAAAAGTGAAACTGAGGCTCCATAATATGAGGAAATTGATAAGCCTTCCGTGTTCTGTGAGTCTAGACTCCTTCATGGACTGCTCTGTGATCTAAGTTTGCCTGATGTTCTGATGGATCTCTGTGGAACTAGTTAAGGTGCAAAGGGGAGGGAAGAGAAGAGAGAAGAGGACCCTTCTTAAATAGCAACTGAGGCTTCAGGCCTTGCAGGGTTTCATCCCTATTCAGCCATAGGCTGAGAGGGGCTCGAAGAGGAAGCCGTGCATCCCTCCTGGCCATAAACCTCTGCTGGGGACACTGTAAGTGCCAGGCTGGATGCTGGTGAAGTCGACGGAATCTTGGCCCTTGGAATGCTGGCAGCCTGGCCATGGAAACTGATCACTTCTTTCCACAGGTCAGGCTTAACAATGACAGTCATCCAATAATAGGGCTCTGGCTTGGCTGTGGAGGCAGAGCAGCAACTTGCTTTGCTGAGGCTTCAGGGGACACATTGAGGAGTAGACACATTGAGCCCATCTTGAGGAATGAGTAGGAATCTTCCAGGTGAACAGCAAAAGGGCATTTCAGGCCGAGAGTGCGCGGAGGCAGAGGCCAGTTTTGCCGTGGGAGCACAGTTGTTGAACGTCAAAACCTTGGTGTGAATTACTTGTTGCAGTGGGAAGAACCTCACCTTTAAGTTCAGGCAGATCTGCAGCGGAATTCTGGTGCTGCTTTTCGGAGAGCTGCGAGGCCTTAGGGAAGTTAATTCCCATCTCTGAGCTCAGTTTCTCGATCGGTAATTTGGGGCTCTTCCAAGGATTCAAGGTAACAAGTGAAAACCCCCAGTAGTGCTTGGTGGTAGTGGTGGGGGTGAGTAGAGAGGCCATTCTGACTCACCAGAGCGTGAGGTATGCCCTGTAGGAGAATGTGGCCAAAGGCTGGGAGGATGGATGAGTTTTGCTTCTTTTTCCAGGGTTCCCATGACCTTTAGGCTACTGAGGCTGGGCCTGGTGCCTGCCAGAGCTGCCACTATCTTTCCCCCACTTGCCAGGAGGACTGGGCACAGGGTGGTAATAAGGGAAAGTTTAACGTGTCAGGCCAGCTGCTGTTCATCCTTTCTCTACCTTCTCTCTGTGCCTGAGACTGGAAATCTGGGCAGCCACTCCTCCTCCCCCTTCCCCTCCCCTCCCCCTCTCCCCCTCCCCTCCCCCTCCTCCCCTCCCCCTTCCCCTCCTCCCCCTCCCCCTCCTCCCTTTCCTCCTCCTCCTTCTCCTCCTCCTCCTCCCCCTCCCCCTCCCCCATCTTTGGCATGGGGTCTCAATGCTCTTGTAGGCATAGGTGCTTTCACTTCCATTATTTCAATTATTCCTTACACAAACCTTGCCAGATGGGGCTTAGCCCTGTTTACCACAGAAGCTCAGAGACGTGAAGTGATCCCTGGAGATCACACAGCAATAGAGTACAGAGGGGCTCAGCTGAGGCCCTTGGGGGTGGCCTGGGCCCTGTTTCTAGGAATGCAGCCTCAGAAAATAGACACCTAGCTCCTCAGGGTTATTTTTCTTTCCCTAAAACCTTGGCACCAACACTCCCAACTGAGAAGTCCCAACTGGAACCCCCTGCCCTGCCTGCCCTCTCCTCCCGTCTCCTTATCCCCAGGCTGCCTCTCTCCATACATCCGCCTTGGGCGACAGCCTTTCCTTTTATCACAAGCTTCTCCCCCAGGGCGTCAGAAGTGAAGGGCGAGGTTAGGGCCTTCCACACTCACCACAGAATGTGGTTTTGGGCACATGGAGAATTGGTTTCACTGTGGGTTTCACAACCTCCACAGTGTCTC